ACACGGTTAAACAAATTAACAAAGCGTCTTCTTCACCCTACTTCTCTTGGGAAGCCCTTTTGACATTCTTCTAGCGAGTCTCCACTCCTTGGGTTGTGCAATAGTCTATTGGTATCACTGACTTTCTCAGTTAGGCAGGTGTCTATTTCTAGCTTTAAATTAGTTAAAATACAGGTAAGCCAACTAATAAATAGCCCATGCAGCTTAAGCCAATCATCACACACACACATACACCGATCTAGAGTAATTCTTTGCTACCACAAATTTTCTATGATGATGACCAGCACAAGCCAACTCCGCCTATGTTTATAGCCGGTCCCAAGCCCGGGTAAAGGAGGAGGGTTGTGTTAGGCCATCAACAGCCAATGTAAAACTTCGTTGAATCTATCATGAACATGGACAATAGACGTTATAATGAGCACAATGGCATCTTACAATCCATGTAGCCGACCCCACCTAGTGGGATAAAAGCTTGTTGTTGTTGTTGTTGTTGCTGACCAACACAAGCCACCCTGGATTAATGCAACTTGTCTTCATTGCATATATTACATTATCAGATTAAAGCTTCATTATATCAAAAACAGATGCTTTAGCCTTTTGTATTACTTGTATTTCTATGACACTTGAATGAACATAATATTATGACAGTTAGATAAAGAAAGAGTTCCATCAATAACAAGGACAAGTATCATCATCAATAAGTACATGCATGAAGCAAACCTCTGGAGAGTTAACGATGCTAATATTTCCAAAAAAGTGATTGAGATATCCTTGCATAGCAACCATCGCTCTGTCTGAGATAGACTGCTGCCCACCTAAGGCTGGCCGTATAATTGGTAAGGCAGCAATAGATGGAACATCCCTGGACCAAAAACCACATATAAAGTAATTGTGACCAAATAACTCAACGAAATTCTAAAGAATATTGTAAAATAAGTGGCAATGATCACCTGTCTTTAGCACATTCATCATAATGCAAGATAGTGTCATCCTCTACTTCTTCATCATCTTGCACCATGGTGGTGTTTTTCTCCAATTCCTAGATTTTGAAGCCATTCTTTAACCTTGATATAATGTTTCAGTGATCATCACAATCCCAAACTTTGCTAGGCAAACAATATATCCTCAAATAACATGAAAATGTGATTGAAGAATGAGGATGGTAGAAGGAATCATATGAATGACAAAAAACATTTTAATATGAGGAAGTAACCAGAAAATCCATATAAAGATTATTGGGCAACACACCTGCTCTTGCTTTTCATTAATTTCCTCAATAAATGCACGTTTCTTCAAGGCAAAATGTAAATATATCACTTGAGAAGCTTTCTTCACCAACTCCCACTTGAACTAAAATGAAAATGAGATATATAATTATAAGAATAGTCCAGTGACAGGAGACTCAATCAAGTAAATAAAAACACCCATTGTCTGATGTTTCTTAGTGCCAAATTCAAACCATAGCTAAACTGTTTAGTGCCGGACTGTAAAAGGCATATCGATTTGATTAATCAATCACAGCCTAAAATGAAAGGAGGAAGTCATCAAATTAGGCTGCAAAAGAAAAGAAGTCTAAAAAGTTAAATTTTAAGGTAAGAAAACTGAAGATAAAGGGCCAAGGCCCATGGGAGACCATAAAAAAAGGGCGTTTATTTCTAATTCCTCAGTCCAGCATAGAACGTTGCATTATTCTCCATTTTCTTTTCTTTCTTTTTTTCCTTTTTTTTCTTTTTTACCCCTTCTCCTCCCTAATAAAGCTGTGGCGAACGTACCTACGTTATTTACTGATACAGTGCCAAAAGATATTATTATATTCGGATTACTCATTTGCTTTCCTAATTCTTCACTTGCTTGCTTTTACTATTACATCTTAGCTTCGTCATTTCACACTTCAGACGTCTATTCCAGAAACGGAAAAGGATCTGGGCTTATTAGATGTAGGACTCTCAAAGAATTCCAAATAAGGCACTAGTAGGAAGACAATGAAGAGAGATGAAGGATTGGTACTTGTTTGTATTGAAACTCGATGGTGTAAGAAAGAAGCATGGGACTGATGTCGCCAGCGTCGGGACGAGAGACGGAGACGATGGTAGCTTTGGGCATCTCATCGAAAATCCGATTGGGCTCAGGGCCGCCTTGCCGGTGCGATGCGACGGGCGACATTATCGTTGGCGGCGGATCTGGTGGGAGTTGAACGTACCGGGAGCCGCCCCCGGTCACCGATTCCTCCGACGCCATGGGAATTCAAAACCGTGAAGGTATAAAACGACGCCAATGTCGTCGGTCGTTTTTAGATCCAAACTTCCAAAGCATGCAGAATCGGAAAAGCGTTGTTCTGGGTGAGACAATGGTGTTTCCCGCGCGTTTGCTGCGATGGTGGTCTGGTGATCCATCGTCCCCAGGTGTCAATTCCTACTTGCTATGTTTAGCATGAGAAAGTTTGGGCAAATTACATTTTATTCCTTCGAATCACAGGAGAGCCAACTGCTCGTGGACTCGTTGCGTGTTTGGTTTTAGTTGGTTTCAGCACGCATTTGGAAATGAAAAGTGCAATCCATATATATTTATTTTTAAGCCAAAGTTTACAAGTTTGATAATCAAGAAGCAATAAAGAAGTGAGGATGACTTATCATATCGTCAAGCACCGTAAAACTCCATTTTTATTTAGTTTTCTCTTTTTCTTTGCCCGACTTTTGGACCAGTGTTAGTTGTGTTCGTGTGCGTCATGACAAGCACCGTAACGTCTTGAAGTTTGACATTCTATCTTCTCTTTTGGGGTGTTTTTGGAAGTCCCTTGACCTTGGTTAAAACGTAACCAAAGTAATTAAAATAATTCAATTAAAAATAAGATTACTATAAATATAAAGTATATACCAAACAGTTTACATTGGCAAAAGGGAAAAAAAAAACTAAATAGTGTAACTCATCTTATCTTAAATATATGTACATCAATATCAACATTTTTGGGGCAACGTATCAATGTTAATATTTATAGAAAGTTAAATTATTCCCAAGTAATAAGCAACTTAACTCATTTCTTAAATTATGTACAAACATTATTATACTAACAACAATGAATATCTTGAGATGCTACTGGACCATAAAAGCTTAGAATTAGATAAACTCAATTCCATCCAATATAGGCATAATTTTAAGAAAGGTTCAAGCTATCAAATAATTTCATTTACCGGTCCTCATTAAAGAAATATACGCACTAAATATAAACGTGGTTCGTTATGAATCTACAATTTTAATTCAGTAAGCTGAATAATCAAGCCAAATCTCATGACTTTACTAAGTAACATAATCTGATCATTATCATCAATTAACCGATCTTAAAACTTATAAATAAACATATTTACAACCTCAGGGGAGGACATCTCCGCTATTAAGATTATTCTTTGCTGACATTATCTAATTAAACTCTTAAAAATAAGTTATCCTTGCTTGACCCTCTTGTTAAACATACCTCCTATAATGTTGATTTTTCCTTCATGTTAAAGTCTTGAATTTCTATATGCCTATTAGTGATTGGAATTTTGATAGTCTAAGTCGATACCTCCACCCTGATGCTATTAAACAAATTATTCTCATGCAACCTTTTAATAAACATAGCAATGAGGATGTTCTTCTTTGAAGACCCTCAAATGATGGTAACTTTACTATAAAATTTGCTTATAAAGCATGGAGACTCAACAAGCTCAAGAAGACTCTAATATATGGTACAAATTTTGAAAATTTCCTACTTATAAAACAAAGCAAGTATTTCTTCTAGTTGGGATCGACTCCAAATCAATGTCACTCTCAATGATGGAAATGCTACTCAGCAACATACTTGCACCCTTAATTGTAACTCTCTAAACTCTTCTATTCATATTTTATTTTGGCTTCTTAAAGAGGTTTGAAAAAAATTAGTAAATTCTTTCAAGTATAGTATTTTCTTTTCTCTTCTTATATAGGATTGGATAATATAAAATGCTCAAAACGAAGCGAGAAGCCTATCTACATGAAGATTGTCCTCAAGGAAACTTTTTGCCCTTGCATGTTAGAACATTTCGAGAACAAAATGCAAGAAAGTTTACTTTGAAGATATTAACTTAGACAACGACATTGCTTTCTCCAGCACCCACAAAATTATCAATGACTTAAAGTTTCAATCCCACAATGAGAAATTGGAGGACTTGTCAGAGATAACAAGATTAATTGGATTAAAAAATTCTTCAAAAATATTAATTATTAACTCAACACAACAGTTGAACTTATAAAAATTTTAGAAGGACTAAATATTTGTTGGAATGTAAATATTTTTAAGTGAATGTTTACTTTGATTTAATGAAAGCTTCATTCCTCATTGAATGTAACTTTACTTCTAGCCACCCTTTTTCAACAATTATCAAGAACATCAAAAATCTTACAATAAAAAATTGAGAGATCACATTTGATCATGCATGCAAAAAAGTCAATCTTTGCATTTCTAACTTATAAAATTTTAAAAAAATATTTTAATATTATCTTATTTCACAGACGACCTACAAACTATAAAAGCTTGACATGACTTGATATTTTAATATTGGTTTTGCTGCACGGTTTTACTGTTGCAATGCATTAAAAAAAAAACACAAGGTATCATATTTCTTTTGGATTCTCGACTTCCCAGTAATCATGGATCTCTTCGGTAATTTGCATGACACGATCGAAGGTATTTTCTTTATGTCATGCAACGTCGTAATGTTGACTACTTTTTTCACAATTTCTTTATTTTTCTAAATAAAAGCAGTAGGATGACATTATAGAATGCAATTACGCAGACTAACGGTTGGCTCATTCCCTTTTTTTTTTAAAAAAAAAAAATCAAGTTCTGCTCATTTTACTTTGTTATTGTTTCACATAAAGTAGGGGGGAAAATTAGATGACGGACGGGGTTTTAGGACTAAGGATCATATATAATAAGAAATAGACAGGAGGAAGATGAAGGGAAGCCCCATAACAAAGAGACTTGCTTCCAACAAAATTCTTCTGTATTAAAAACCTCAAAAGGATACAGCGCACAGAAGGTTTAGCCCCCCAAAAAAAAACAAAGAAAGAAAGAAAAGGAAAGGAAAAATACGAACATACGGGTTACTGTACCTTCATCGGCTTGAATTCTCTACATTTGGCGCAAGAGAAAAATGTGACTTGAGCACGTACTAAATTAAGAAGATAATATTACAGCTTAGTTCGTACGTTCGCTTCCGACAGATAACAAAATAGCTCCAAGATAGACACTTCTATTCAACATCCGACAATCAACCTTCATTCTTTAGCATCCGTGCACTGGAATCTCAGCTCAGCATCACTTCTTTGTTTTCTTAGCACCCCTAAAGGAAAGATAACATCCAAATTTGTAAATGATATAAAAACAGATATAATTCAGGAAAGTTATACAGTCAACAGATTAATGCTTACTCAGCCTGTGGTTGTGATGCCGCCTGAGGTACTCTCTCTCCAGGCCCCTATACAGTTCACATACATACAACGTTAACTTACCAATCAGTTTATGAATTTCTTCAGTTTGCCACATAGAGCAGCAGCAAGGATAAAGTCTGGTGAATCACAAGTCTAACGATGGCAAGCAAACTATTGGGTGAAAAATGAATTTTTATGCTAGCCAGCAGCATTTCGATGACAAGAAAATAAAATTGTATCTCTTCCGAGTTTTATGGGTCAAGGAGAAGAATGGAGATGAAACCACGGCATACCTGTGCCAACCGCTCCTCTTTCCTAGCCAGCTTTCTCTCCCTGCTTGCCTTGCTCTTAGCACGCTTGGCCTCAAATTGGTCAGACAGAGTTTTCTCCCTGGCCTTTTCAGCCTTGGATTTGTGGATGCTCTCCATTAAAACACGCTTGTTCTTGAAGACATTACCTTTTACCTTCATGTACATGTCATGGTACATGTGCTTGTCAATTTTTTTAGCTTCACGATACTTGCGAAGCAGACGCCTCAACACACGCATTCTCCTCATCCATAGTACTTTTGTTGGCAGTCGTGCCTCCCTAGTACCCTTACGCTTACCTTAAGTAATAAAAATCAAATGAGCCCCCATCAATGACTTCTTAAGACAAAATTGTGCGACAGAACAAACCACAAATTCTAACAATAAATCATACCATATCCAGAATGCCGACCCTTTCTCTTGGCCTCCTTCATTCTTCGAGCACGAGATCTAGAGTGAATCTTTGTGGGCTTCCTAATTACGAAGCCATCCTTCACAAGTTTTCTGATGTTTTGTCCTGTCATTAGCCATTAAGCCATTATTACAATGGATGTCATCAAGAGTTCAACACCCATGCAACAGAAGAAGCTGACAAGCTTACAATCCTGACCAGAAGAAACATCTGGGAGACCAAGTCTATATTTTAAAATGGATGATAATTTCACCAACATGTCCAACAAGACAACATTCCTGCCTCAAGATCAACAAGCAAAATATTGAATTCATGACTAAGCTGCTTAGGGAACAAGTTACAACCAATTTAGGCAATTTTCACCAGTCACTTTCTTTATCTCTCTCTTTTAACTAATCTTAGATAACAAGGTCATTTTTGGCAAAACTTGGATGGTTTAAACCACTTCCTCAAAAGATTGAAACAATCTCAAAGCACTAATAGTCATTCGCGAGACTTAAAAATACAGTTCGTTCAGAGAATATTGTCTCCTACGAGGCAGAACACATTAGCACAGGTGCACACATAGAGGAGAGAACGTGCTTCAATAAACTGAATAGCGCATCAGCTTCATTACTCACTCACAGATGATAGTACATTAGTATTTATAGACAGCGCTCTACATGTTTGTTTTCGGAACACTCGCAAACTAACTAACCTAACCAGATATATATTTAGTTCTAACAGCTAAACTACTATCAGCTTAATTAATAATATTCCCTGCCATTACATAAAAGATTGAACACCTGAATGAGATAGGACAAGAACTGGAAACCAAATTGGCCACTTCACCTCTATATTATATCGTGCATCATGATGAATAGAAAAAGGAAACAAACTTGTCCGTTTCTATATCTATCAAAGCCCATGTATATACGAGCAACACCAATTTCCATCTCAGGAAATATAAGATACAGGTGAAGTGGGAAATAAGTTAGCTGAATTCAATAATTGGTTTGCTAAAAACAACTTGCATATGTAATCCTGGTCTGTATTGGTCTATAAGCGAGACTCTGTTATTCTTTGCTAGAAAGCAAGATATCCGACACCAACACCGACAAAGATGAAAAATGAAATTTGATCTTCCTTGAAAAGCAATTTTTCCAGAACCTGCTATTCACATCCAAACTATCAAAAAAATACGCTTTCGATTACCAATAAAATTAATCATTTTTCAAACATAAACCGGGCTCAAGACATATCATCATTATCATCATACACATATTTTCCGTGGATCCATCTGTGTAAACTATAAACTAACGAGTGTTCACCTCATGTTACACTCAGTAACAAAAACTTTTAATCCACGATTTATAAGCGAACTCAACAACTTGGATCAAAGCTAATTATGATAAAGTTTCCTTGTAACTGGGGTAATATACTGGCATGAAAGATAAAAAATTGGAGAAAGAAATAAGAGAAGTACTAGAATTGGCCATGGAAATCTCGTTGACTTCATTGGGATCAAGCCAAACCTTCCCCTTCCCGCATTTGAGTACACTGGCAGCTAGCCGCTTCTGAAGCTTCAGTGAAACCATGGCCAGGCTTCCCCGCTTCCGCGTGTGTTCGTGAGTGGAAACTTGAGACTTGAGAGAGCTTTTCAGTTTTCAGGCGGTTCCTTTTATCCGGAGAAGATGATGACCAGAGTCGGCAGTTAGGGTTTTGAAGTCACTAATGCCACAATTACTGGATTTCATTTTTTATATTATTTTTATCCAACATAAATATTCTTGGAGGACGAAAGCCGAAAAGCGTCAATCCATTTCTTTTTTTTTTCCTTCCAACAATATATTAATATCCGTCTAAAATATAAAATTTGTAATAAATTAATTGAATCATTCTTAAATTACGAATAATATAATTTATTTTTACGTTAGCAAAACTAAGTGTGCGTTTTATTTTCAGTTTACTAAAAGTTCATTTAGTAAAAGTTCATTTGATGAAAGTCAGTTTAATGAAAGTAAGTTGTTGTAACGAAATTTGTGTTTGGATATATTTTTTCAAAAGTCAGTTTGATACATTGAAAGTTGTTTGGTTTGTGATAGTGAGATGTGCTTTTGAATATACAATTACCAAAAAGGATATTGATTTATAATGATTTATAATTTTTATTATACAAATGTAATATATTCAAAATATTTAAAAAATGTAATAAAGATTATAAATAACATAAATTTTGATCTATAATGCTAAAAATTTGATCTCTAATTATTTGTATTTTTTAATTTGTAATTTTAAAAGATGTAATAAAGATTTGTAATTTTTATTATACATTAATGCTAAAAATTAACATGATTAATTACTTAATTTATAATACTAAAAAAATTGATACCTAATTATTATTATTAAAATAATAATTATATTTTTAATGAATTAATTATTTTTTAAATAAAAAAATAAGAGATTAAACTTAGGGTAGTATGGTCAAATAACATCCTACTTTTTAAATCCACTTTTCAAAAGCTTCAAATAGTTACGTTTCAGAAATCTACTTTCAGCTACTGTTTGAATGTACTTTCAAGATGTGCTTTTCTGCCAAATATTCTACCCAAACAACTTTCAACTTTTTGAAAGTGAAATTTTACTTTCTAAATATGAAATGGAAGAAAACCAAACGGACCCTAAATCTAAAGACTCGTGCTTCTTATAGAGTCCAAAAATAAAGTCTGGTTGTTTGTTACATGCCTCATGTACAAATTGTCCTCTTATTCAAATAATTTTATTGAATACACAGTCAATATAAAATATGAATATAAAATATGAGTATCTTTTTGGGGTTCATCATTCATAATATAACAATCTAAAGTTTAATTTTTTACTAGAAGAGAGATACCCATACTTGATAGTTGTCTGTGATTTAAATATAATTATTTCTAATAAATAAATATATATATATATATATATATATATGGTTTTGGACAGTTAAAAAATCCAAAACAAAAACGCTGTAAAAAAAATTGCGTGATCCACAATAAATGGTGGAACTTGATTCTTGGGCTCCACATGAGACAAGGGCTTTGACATTTTGTCTTGTCAACATAAAAATAAATCATATTATTCACGATTTTAGAATGATTTACTTTAATTTTTGTTTGGCCAAGATTTACTTTAGATGAAAGTGCACATTTAATTTATTAACTTCATATGATATTTTATTTTGACTTCTTAATACAGATAGTTTATTTAACAATAAATTTTTATATAAAATTTTTAAATATTAATAAAATATTTTTAAATATTAACATATTAAGTTTAATTTTTTAAAATAAAAATAATATTTAAAAAAATCAATCAATTTAAAATTAATTCTATTAAAATTAAATGACTGAAAATATATTTTATAAAATAAAATAATTAAATTAAAACTTTATAAATAATTAAAATTAAAAAATTAAATGTATATTTTAAACTTTAATTTATTATAAATTTATATTTTATTTTTTATAGAACTGAAATGTTTTTAATACAGAATTATTATTATTATTATTATTATTATTATTATTATTATTATATGGTAATAAATTTTTAAGTTAAATTTAAGGTGTACAATGATATTTTAAAGCAGACGTCCGTCCCAGCTCCGTTCCCATGGAAGCGCTTCGTTTTGGTGAAAATTCGGAATCCGATACGTTGAGTCGTTGACGTTTGTTATTTCGCGTGCTCCGCAATTTTCATTTTCGTCCATAGGGTCCTGAAGCTTTGTTGATTCCGGGAAAAAATCGCGATGGTAATGGACATTCTCGTCGCCGATACTGTATCACTAGCCGCTGCGAAAGGCCTTGGGGTTGCCAAGCTCCTCTACGCCGAACAATCGTCTTCTTGTTCCCCGCCATCTTCCAAATTTCTCCAGATCTCGGCCTTGATTTTGCCGGTGGACGCCCTTGCACCGCCGCCGGTGAAATCTAATACATGCAGAATGCCGCGTCGGACCCTTATCCGCAGAAAACAACGGGCGAAGCGCCGGTTGTCTGGTGGTGATTCGGGGGACACAGATGATGAGGGATTCTTCTTTGGTGATGGCGGCAATCCGCCTTTTGGCCGCGGCGGTTTCGGTGGGGGTGGTGGGAGTTGGAATTTTAATCGATTCGGAGAAGGGCATAGTTGGGATGATTCATCGTCTTCGTTTTCGGACCCTGCGTTCGATTTCGTCTATCAGGTTCTGTCCTGGATTATGCTTTCCAATTGTCTGCATTTTGCTTTCAAAAAGATTGTTCAAGATTTTACCTATGGAATTGTGGATGCCGATAGAGAAAAAGTTCCCAGGAGATTGGCGCCAATTTGCTGATTTGGTGCTTTTATCACATGTAAATCAATGCTTGCCGGTGGAAATTGTCATGATTGGGGATTACTTCTGTATTTGAACAGGATTTTAGATCTTCATTTTCGTTCATGTAAATATTGTATATAATTCTCATTTAATCTATTATATGATTGTAGATTCTTTGTTTGGATACGCTATTGTGTTTTAGTGTACTGCACTTATTGCTTTTGTTACAGTTTGCTAGTGAATTGTCATTCAGTTCTTTTAAATGTTGGTTATTGCCACCAAAATCACAGGATATAATTGAGGCTACTACTAATTTAGTTTGCAGGTTTCAATCTCGCTTTTTGCTAGGTTCCCTTCAATGTTGTTATCCTTATCAATGCTACATGTATTGTTACAATGTGTGTTACTAATTCTTGCTCAGTTTAGATGCTGCTTATTAGTACCACACTAAGTCACAGGGTCTAATCTATGCTACTTTGTAGGTAGTTATCAATATCCCTTTCTACTCCACTTTTAATTTAATGTTCTACTGTTATCAAAGTGGTCAATGCAAGCATTTGTTCTTGCATTGTGCTAATAAATTGTTATTTTATTCAATTTATGATGTTGCTTATTACCGCCCCTAGTCAAGCTGGTCTATGCTACCAAAGTTGCAGCGTCTCTCCTTGCTTCAGTTGAATGGCTTACAGTTATCAAAAGTAGTCAATTCAAACATTTATTGTTGATGTGTGTGCTAGTGAATTGCTGTCAGTTTAGATGTGTTAATTGTTGCCACGTAAAGTCACCGGCGTCTAGTCTGTGGTTCTTGGCGGTTTTAGTAGGTTATCTTGTTTATGATGTTGAGAGGCATTTATTGGCCTTGTGGCCAACTTCCATACGGTTTTTGATCAAAAGTTCAAAGTTAGCTTGCAATCTGCTAATAGTACTGCACAACTACGTAGCCATAATCGTGGACTGTATTTGCGGAAAGGGCAAAAGGAGGAATAGCTTGAGACTCTAGGCAATAACTTCTTGTGGATCTTTTTATTTTTGCGTGAAGCACCTGTTATCTTGTCCCACATCAAACTAAGAGGACTTCGACAAGCCCAGATTAATCCAATTGAACCGGGATGAGATCCTTTCAAATCAAAGCTTTATCAACAATGATTTGGTATTCTCTGAGCTCAAATTTAAGACCTCTAGTTAAGTTGATTTAACTTTTTTACTAGTTGAACTAAATGTCCGGTGGTAACTTCTTATGGATCTTTTCTGAGTGATTTATCAATAAAACTTGGTTGAGGTGGACTTACACTATGATATTTGATTGTCTTTTTTTTTTTCTTTCTCTCTCTCTCTCTCCCCTCATGTTGATGATAGGTCTTAGTTTTTTCCATGGGTTTCGACCGAATGCAGTATTTTTGTTTCCACCTTCTTATTTGTTTAGCTCTCCTATCTGGCTGTATTTTAAGGTTGATATTGCCTCAGGAACTTTTTTAGGAAATATACCGTCGTCCTGTTCTGTCCTTTATTGATTGATAGATGAAAATTGAAAAAGGATCACGCTAGTAACAAATGCCAGGATTTAATTAGCTTTATACAAATTATGCCTAGTCCTTGGCATTATTTGCATTTCAAAGTTGTCGGGTGAGATTGGCCTTGACAGCTTGTGTTTCTTTCTTGTTCTTAAAGAATACTTTTTGCATCCCTAGATATAAATCCTAATTCTTATCTTTCTTTTGTTCCTAAATATAAACCTCAATACAAGTTTTTAGGTATAATTAATACTTGTTTTCAAAAATTTCCCTATAGAGAATGTAACTTTCCTATTTCACCCATTAATTTTTATAAGTAGATGCACTTTTTCTCATGACATGAAATAAAAGAGTATAAACTAATTTTTACTTAATACTGATTTTGATATCCCATTGATTTGTGTGTTTTTCAGTATTAGGGTTTATGTCCAGGGACCAGGAAGTGCTTTCTTGTTTCTTTCTGCCATAGTGACCTTTTTTCTGGAACCAACGAAGGGGTCACTATTTTACAAGATCCAGTTTATTATGAGGGTTTGAGTTCAAATCCTAGGAGAAGAAAATATTATTTTCTTTTAGAGCACTTCATAGGAAAAATCGAAGAGTGCACGTTTGTCTATCAATGATTCTTCAACAGTACCAGAACGTGAGTCGCTCCATGAGGCAGTGGCTGATACTTTGAGACAAGAAGTTGCCGTAAAGATGGTAGAGAATTCTGGGGAAGTCTTGAGATGTCAATTTAGTAATTTACTAAAGGCAACTTAATTATGAAAATTTTGAATGACTTGCAAGAGGCACGCTTTTCTCTTATTAGCCAGAAAATAAATGAATAAAAACATTATATAATGACGTATTATCATGTTTCAATCCATTCCCCGTCTTTCTGTCTGTCTTTTTCTTCTTTTTTCCCCAGAAACGGTTGTGACTTGTGAGAGAGTTTATTCCCTTTCAGATTATATGAAGTGAATTTTGAATTTGGGACGCATCAAGTGACAAAATGAGTACAAGCACTAACATCTGTTGCCTGCTTACGGAGCTTTTGATAACCCATATACCAACCTTTTGATTTTACAGCCCAGAAAGAGTTAGCATGCTATGACACGTAATGGTGTCATGATCTTCACTTCATCCAGTCTCACCAGCCTGACTTTTTAAGGGGAGAGGTGGAATTTAGGTATTCTATCATTTTACATACATTTTCCTTAGTGTTGTTCGTGGCTTATTTCCAGTTTTTTCAAACAAAAAAAAACATTTTAAAATTATTTAATTATTTGTTTATAAGTACTTGTTTAACCAAAAAAAAAATGTAAATCAGTTGGGTCTTAAAAACTCATCAAAATTAAAACATGTTTTTAGGCTTAAAAAATAGTTACAGATCAATCTCATTGACATTCTCATATCAACAATGAAATTTGAGTTAGTGGCTAAATTAATAAATTATTAGCAACTGAACTAGCGTCTATTGGTAGCTTGTTTACTAGTATTAGTTAGTTATTAAATTAAGTCATATTATAGTTATAATAGGAAATCAGTGTATCAAATTAAAACTGGTATTGCTAAAAATGAATGCATTAAATTTATATTAGAAAAATTAATTTTTTAGTCTTTTAATTTTTAACTCACTTGCAATTCAACTTTTTAAGTATGACTCGCTACGACTCAATCCTTTAATTATAATTTATTACGATTCAATCTCTCAATTTTTGACTCACGTATAACTTAATTTTTATTTTTTATTTTTTATTTTTTTAAAAAAAATCCTTATAAATTAAAAGAAATTAAAAAATGCTTATATCTTACTCTATAATATCCCATCTTACTCTTTGATGTGGATCTAAATTAATATAAAAAAATAAAAAATAATAAAAGTTGAGGAATTGAATCATAAATAAATTAAAAATTTAAAAACTGAATTACAGCAAGTTATATTTAAGGGATTGAGTTTTAAGAAAGTTAAAAGTTAAAAAAAATAAAAGATTAATTTTTTTATATATTAAGTTTTCTTTTTTACAAGTGTGAAGGAATAAGCCACAACTCATACAATCCATCTAAAGCTGGTTATATCAGGTCTTTCTGTTACTGATGTGATAAATAACTTTCATTATCTGCCACGAACAGTGACGAATCCAGACTTGCCAACACGGGGGGAAAATCTAAAACCATCAAAAATATTGGGGCCAAAAAACTAATTTTCACATTTTTTATAAAAAAATTAAAAAAAATATGAAGGAGCAGTGGAATTGGGGAGGGGCTTCCCCCCCCTGCATTCGTCACTGGCCACGAGGAACTTGCACGTGATTCTTTCTGTAAATGACCACGTGTCCGCATACTATAAACATGGGGTTAGATTTGGACCCCCATCACTATGGTTAGACCAGAACAATTCGAAACTGATTTTAATAGTTCAGATTTAAAATTTTTGAACTCTAATTTTTCATATAGAAAATTATTCTTTGCTAAAGTGACAGTTCTAAAATTATCTTTTATTTTAAATAATAAAATTGTATCAGATAAGAACCATCCAAATTGGTGCGCGCGAAACCGGATCCCTGACTGTCGCAGATCGTCAATGTAATGCTACTGTTGTCTTGTGATTGTTTGACATAGATAGATAACGTAACACTGATGAGTGATGACCATAGTACTAAACGTATAAAAAGAAAAATTAGAAAAAAATTGGTATAGCATCTTAATCCTCTTAATTTTGTTTATTAATAAAAAAATTATTAACTCTATAAATTCAAAATATTCTAAAATGAGTTTTTAAATTTTTCAGAGCGGTTAATGAGATTTTTTTAAAATAAAAATCAGTCGAGATCATATTTTTAGGATTAGATTTTTTTTAATTTTTGTAAAAATGAGTATTTAATTATGATCATTTGCCGGAAGTTCCGAAAGGTAATGTCAAAGCACAGTAAAGTTTAAATTATGACAAAACCGTACGTGGCATTCATCTGCTGGGAAATTACTTTTATTTTTTTAAAAGAAAAATAAAAGCCAACAATGATTAAGAAAAACAAACAAACAGTTTGGATCCATGAATCTAGCGTGGATTTCGGACGGAGATTGAGGCTCTTTATGGATTTTCCCGAAGAAGCTTTATGTCTATCTTAATGCTGAATATTCTCTGATAAGATACAATTAGTGACTTTTATTGGTAATAATCCGAATTAAGAGGGGCCACGCACACGGTGATGATTCTTTGTTCATTATCATTATTATTTAATTATTTATATATAAGTGCAAATGGGGACACCAAAACGATTTGTTTTTGGTTGTGTCACTTCAGGGTGTATTAGATTTCAATTCACATAAACAGCCAAATTAGAAGTGGACGATTTTAATTATTTGGGTTAGTTTCATGAACCTCACTCCCGAATCGTGTTATTATTTTATTATTTAGTAAACAACTTGGTTTTCTCACTGAGTATTCTTTCAGTATAATAATCTTTCGTTGTCATTATTCTTAAATAAATGCTAATAATTAGTATCACTGTGTCTATATATGCATGTAAGTATAGTGTGACATGTGGATCTTCAGCTATTATTTGCCGACTATGGAAAAAATATTACGTGCACAGCTCAGCTAGTAGTACGCAGAATAAAATAAAGAAATGAAAAATAATAATTTTATGGATAGGAAATTTTTTTTTTCCACATCACTGGATAATGAAAATAAAATAAAAAGGTTTTTCTGTAGTTACAAGAGTTTGACATCTCATACCTCTATCACCGCATTA